AAAACTGGAAAAGAATCAGAAGAGAACAAATGAATGTGTCCAGTGCTAACCCATTAAAAAATTATTCACGAGTAGCTTTATTATTTGGACAGTTCACTTTCTTTTCACCAACTAGTTTAGTTATGAGAAATATATGAAAAAATCTTAAAGAAAGTAAACCAGAGACTAGCCACATTACTTGCCAGTTCTGCAATTTATTCTTTCTTTGACTGTCCAATTTAGTTTGAGAAATGCATGAAAGCACTCTACAGAAAACAAACAAGTAAGAAGTTTAGAAGCCCGGATAATGGATGCTCCAACTCCTAGTGTCGAAGGATCATATGCATCCAATGCAAAGTTGTGAAAAGGATGCAGAAAAATAACCTGAAAGCCAAAAAGTGGAAGCTACTATTAAATGGAAATTATGTATACCTTCAAATTACAATTAGGAAAGGGAGGATAACTCATACCTCTCCAGGTATTTCAATGGGATATGCAGCAAAAGAAACCATTATATCAGAGATAGATACAACAACTGTATTCCTATCAACAGCAATCAGACCAAGAGAGTCAGAATGATGTATTACCACACCAGCTCCAATGAAATGTTTAGCATGCACTCCATCAATCATGCATATTGGTGGCACGCGCACCTATATATAGAAAATTAGAAAATTAGAGATATACGAGTGAGGTGGTTTTTAACAAGAAACACAAAAGCTACAGCTCAAAACTAACAAGTGCATGGTACATTGTGCTATAATGCACACAACTGTTGGTTTTAAAGCACTAAATTAAATCACCCAGCAGAGCTATGCGTGCGTACAAGCTAGCACACAAACAGGTTGATTGATTCTGTAACCACATACGTGCACGTTTTGCCACGTAGGCGTACGATCATTGACAATAATTGGTTGGGGGGAGGGGGCATGGCCCCCTTTGGCCCTCACTAAGCTCCGCCACTGGACAACACAAGGAAAAAACATGGCATTTATTGGACACAATTGACATATAGGAGTGCCAGCCGTTCACTATCAATCACCATCTTTGCTGAATTTCTGAAGATGAAGCCCATTTTTCTGACCATTGACGCCATTAGGTGCCACAAGTAGCAAGGGAATGAAACCATAAGTAACCTCAAAGATGATAAATGAACTACCAAATGTAGACCTCACATGTCTCACGAAAATAACCATAACTTTAGTCCCCTATTTGGTGACACTAGTTCTTTATTTCCTCATGAAACAAAATTGCATAAAGAACCGATGCACAAGAAACCAATAATCTGTAGTCGTGTTGAGTCTGGGTGTAGTTAAAGATAGAATCTGATTCTAATCTGATTGGGTAACTATATATTGGCCTTGAGCCGAGAGGATAGGACATAAGTTGATTTCCCTCATAACATGGTATCATGGCACCAGTTGGAGTTGCTGCCACCGTAATCCCCCTTGTCATTGGGGGAGACTCTGTGTCTGGTGATGTGTCTCTAGATTGTCTGGGTTCTAAACTTAGCAAACAGATGTAGTTGTCGTACCCTATCAGTGAGTCAGTTTTGTTAGAACACTAGCTTAGCTCTCACCCGGGAGTCTCTCTAACATGAATGTGTTACTCCCTCAGTTCCAAAGTAAGTGTCGAGGTTTTACTTCAAATTTGTTTGAACTAAAACCTCGACACTTACTTTGGAACTGAGGGAATACCATATATCCCACCACCTTTATATTGGCCTTGAGTCCATGGGAATTCACAAAGTTTCCTTTCTCTCAATAGGCTTCCACAAAAGTAAGAAAACTTTACAATTCATGAAGACAAGCTTTTGTGTTTTTCTCAAAGAAAAAGTGTAGACAACTACCAGCGCTTGTCTAATGTATTGTGCCATTCTGGAAGTCGAACTTCTTTCCTCAGAATGTTAGAAAATTTTAGCCTGTTGTTGGTGGACGCAGATTATGATTAATTCAGTCATGAATTTTTTTTAGAGGACCATATTACTGTATTCACCAAAGGTCCAATGTGTGAATTTTGTTTTATCATTGGCAGAACTGTTTTTACAACATTATTTGTGTGGAGTCGTGGGTAAGCTTCTACCACATTAACCATTTTAGTTAGGGTAGGCTACGAAACAGGTATAGTGTCATGACAAGATCTAAAAATATTAATCTGATGCACCATGACTACATGATTCCTTCCAAAATCAAAGTATAGATGTTTCTCACCTCAAACTTCACAAGGGCTGGTTTAATTACTTGTTCTGCCAATGAAGTGTTACCAGATATTGTTCTAGCAAGGTCAGAGCCTTCCATGCTAGAAGAATGCCGTGAAACACCTTTTATGTCATCTAAATCTCTAGAAGATGACACGGTTCCTTCAACAGCTATATTCTCATCAACATTTGAGTTCACATCCCTATGACCACGTTGATGAATGGAAACTACATATGGAGATTCCAGTAGCATAGCTGATTTTGCAATCCACAATCCAGTTGCATCATTTCGAGTATATAACTGAGGTGTTGCATACCATCCATGCTGATAAATTGTAACTATTGTACACTGGGCACACCAATAAGACAAAATTTTAGTTGTATTCTAACAAATAGATAAAGAAGATTTTTCATGATAAAGCCGCCAGGGAATATTTGTAACGACCCGTATATTTTCACATAGTATTTCCACCCTTAACTAGATAATTAAGTAGAATCCATTAAGCAAATACACATAAGATTTCTTCAACAAGCATTCATAACCACTCAAGTGTATATATATTTATATTCATAAACCTCAGACAGTATAGCTGTACAAGTGTATTACAAATCTTTGAAATATATATATATATATATATATATATATATATATATATATATATAGAAAGAGAGAGAGAGACCAGACTATGCTAAGCTATACAACAAAGGGCACACCAAACTTAGACCAACCCAAAAATATCTCGTGGTCAAAGCAGTAAACAGTGAGACATATTTGGGATACACATTGACCACCACCATCACGTGCATTATAGATATCAGTAGTCAATTGACCAACAGTTGGTCTAGGCATGGGCTGCAACTCCTAGCCAATAGAGAGACTCCACAAATGACTACACTGTACAGCAGGGATGGACAGCCATAACTAGCTAGGTACTAGAAAGAGAGGAGGAGTAACCTGGCTCTGATACCACCTGTGACGACCCGTGTCATTATTACTATAGATAATGACACTAGTCCTTGGATTATTTCTTGACAAAATCTTGTCTTGTCAAATAATAATCCATGTCAGAGATATGCAACAGGGAAATAGCTAGAGATGGTCATTTATATTACAATACCTTGCCACACAGGGCTAAAAGTCTCAGGTAGGCTTCTCACATGTTTTGCCAAATTATTACATTTCCTAACACCGGAGTTCCAACTAGCAGTACTAGATAGATGATGATAAAATAGTTTCTGGATTACATAGCTAGATCATAGTTACTTATTCATCCCAACCCCCATATGTGGCATCCAGATCGTACATAGCACTAGATGGATCCACATCTAGGTCCCCTGTGTAGTTGTAGTCATCACCATTGCTCTCCTCACTTGGTCCAGTAGGATTCTCATACAAGCTTTGCTCTAAGAAAAAGATGATTAATAGCAAGAGTGAGTACAAAGTACTCAGCAAGCTCAAAAAGCAAAATGCAACACTCATGATAGCTCAATATAAATCAACAAGTCCTACCTCAACTCAACACCTTTCAAAATAACCATTTGTTGCAGAAAGTTTATTTCAATTTATAAAAGCTATCAAACACTCGTATTGCGAGATAGACCACCAATAGGTCCCCATAATCCCCAATCCAAGAGACTGGCATGAATTCATGTTTTCCTTTAACTCTGCAGAGTTTGTATCACTTTACCCATAGAACTCGAAACCATAATTGCCATCTGCATTTCCTTAGATGCGAGACATGGTTCAGAACCTAAGCTTTTTCCCATTTGTATATTATATCTCCACCCGGCTAGTGTCACTAGCCGTTGTGTCGGGTTTCGGAACCCGCACTCCACCAACGCTTAATATATATAGCGCTTGCTAATGCAT